GATCACTTAGTCTGGATGACAGGATATAATGTTCATTACTACTGATCACCTAGTATGGACTGCAGGATATAAGGTTCACTACTACTGATCACTTAGTTTGGATGACAGGATGTAATGTTCATTACTACTGATTGCTTAGTCTGGATGACAGGATGTTATGTTCACTACTACTGATCGCTTAGTCTGGACTACAGGATATAATGTTCACTACTACTGATCCCTTAGTCTGGACTACAGGATATAATGTTCACTACTACTGATAACTTAGTCTGGACTACAGGATATAATGTTCATTACTACTGGTCACTTAGTCTGTACAACAGGATATAGTGTTCACTACTACTGATCACATAGCCTGGACAACAGGATATAATGTTCACTACTACTGATCGCCTAGTATGGACTGCAGGATATAAAGTTCACTACTACTGATCACTTAGTCTGGACTACAGGATATAATGTTCATTACTACTGATCACCTAGTCTGGACTTTGGGATATATTGTGATCTATTACTACCGATTCTTTAATCTGAACTACAGGATGCAATGTGTACTACTACCACTACTAATCACAGGATATATTGAAGAGAATTTATCAAAACTGGAGCAGACAGAATCTGAAGCACTTGTGCATGGCAACTAATCAGCTTCTGTCTTCAGCTTGTTCAGTAAAGCTTGGTTCACACTACTGTGATGCGACCTTGTTACAAGGTGTGATTATGTGGTGTGACTTTGCATATTCTATGGGTCCAAGTCGCACTGTAAATCACACCAAAATAGTGCAGGAACCTTTTCCAAAATCGCACCGTTCTGAGTTGAATTGATTAGAATGGGCACCATTAAAAACAATGAGATTTCTTTTGTCATGTGATTCTCAGGTTGCATCAGATGTTACGCTAATGTGAACCAGCATTTAAACTTTAAAATTGAAAGATACTGCTGATTATTTAGAGCTTAGTGATTTGCGGGGCTTCGGATCATGCATCTCACCTCATGCATGCTGCTGTCACACTGTACTCAAACATGCCTTCACTCGACAGCCAAGACAAAAAAAATGAACCACATGCGTAACTGCCCACTCACCCCCAGCTGCTAGAAAGCAAGCGGATGGCCACGCATGCGTAGTGTACATTGTGACAACTAGGGGCAGCTTGGCTATAGCTTGGCTATTTACATGTGTATCACATCCTGCATGCCAGTCCCAAGCTGAGCAATTGGAATGGGTTGAGAAAAGACCTGGCTAGCAATTTGTAAAAAAAAAAAAAAAAGAAAAGGAAATTCGATGGAAAAGACTTTTATTGTATTAGATATGGTGTCCAGACAGCTGGTTCCTAGAATCACCAAGAATCATGAAGGAATGTATACTATAATGGACAGTAGTTACCTGTACAGTATTGTGGTAACATTTCTGCAGTTGAGATTCTTTAGTGATGCTTGATTGTGAAGATGGGCAGGCGTTTTGCTGTCTATAGGAAGGAAATGATTACTGTTATGGATGAAGAGGTCATATTTTGAGAAGGTGAAGTGTTTCCCTTTGTAGCCAAACTTCTGCTCCAGCAACAGGATGTTTATTTTACATATTCCAGGCTGTAGTTTTCTACTTACAAGTCATTTCCACATGTTTGTGCAAAACATCACAGATGCATGCCCTGACTTTACATCAGTGGAACAGATGGCTGAGATCTTCTAACATAATACTAATGCTGAAAAACATATGCTGCGGTATCGCTGTCCTTTATTGCCCTACTTGGGTGCCTCCTTAGCACCTGTCTTGCTAAGGAGGCACCTGGATCAGGTAGAAGGTGACAGTACCAGATGAGGGACTGCCCGAAGAGCAGAAGACAGTGCTTTCAGTGCAATATTGCTGCACAGAGCAGGTAAGTATGACCTCATTTAAAAAAAAAAAAAAATAGACTTTAGTATCACTTTCTGTAACAAGTACAATGATGCATGCTTTTGTGTCCTCATATGTTTGCTTTGCGCTTCATTGACTTCTTGGTGAATCATTGCACAAGAATCTATTGTCTGGTCTGGTAAGAAAACAGTTTGTTTTTATATTTGGATCAAAATTGCACAAAAAATGCAGGTGAAGATGAGATTTCTTTTAGACTGATATGGTGTGTAAAGATATGAGTAGAAGTTCTCACGTTAGGACGTCACCTGTGTGGGTGACATATAGTCAGCTGAACCGTCTATTTTTACAAACTGAAATATGCAGTTTAGTGATATACATGGACAATGATCACATTCCAGACCTTAATCCGACTCTCCTGACTATCAAAATGGCCAAAAAGAATACTCTGCAAAAGAAGAATCTAAATGTGAAGAATTATTATTAATATAAAAAACCGCGCAAATAAAAAACCCAAAACCCAATTGTGTACAAAGCAGTAAACACACCAGAGGATATCCTCTCTAAATCACAAATCCAAATATATCTCTTATGTTGCTTTTAGTGAAGTATAAATTAAATCAAATGTTCTCATAAATGATATACAATTAATATATATCCAATAAAGGGCAGGGAAAAAAAGTGCTCAATAGCGAACCATTGTCCTGAAGTGAAAATAGGTTAACATATATGAAACAGACCTTATAGATGTATAGAACAGTCCCCTTATTCCATGATGACTTCTTGAGTGTTTTACCAATTGCGACTTCAATGGAACCGCACTAAAAATGCAAGTATTGCGTTTTTTATGTGTTTTTGATGCATTTTGCATGTTTTGTGTGACATTAAGCTGGGTTAAGGAGTGGGTGGCCATTGGCGCCCTTAACAATCAGTAAACAACTTGGTTGTTAAGGAGCAGGTGGCCTTCATGTCCTTAACAACTGATAAGTAATCGACGGTGGGAGCCTTGGTCGAGAATGAAGCTCTTCCTTTTTTTTTTTTCTTCTGGGTGCTGGCGTTTATTGTGATTGATGTTGAATCTTCGGGGACCTATCAAAAACTGTGGTTTGTTTTATATTCACTTTTTACACTTTTTTTTTTGGTAAATGAGTAGGGGTATATCCATGCTCTTTCACATGGGGGTGGGGGGGAATCTTGGACGATAAGTTACCTGCCTGTAGACCCCCAAAACCATAGTCCAGGGCTGTGGGAAAGAGGCCCTTTGTTCTCATCAACATGGGGACAAGGTGCTTTGGGGGGGGGGGGGAGCCCCCTTGCCCCAGAGCACCCCCCCATGTTGAAGGCATGTGGCCTGGCATGGTTTGGGGGGGGGGCAAGCTCATCCCCCCCCCCCCCCTTTTCCTGGCCTGCTGTGCTGCATGTTCGAATAAGGGTCTGGTATTGACAGATAATGACTCCTCTCTTGTTAAGGAAGCGGTGGCAAACCGCTCCTTAACAACCATGTTGTTTACTGGTTGTTAAAGATGCCGGCGACCGCCCCCATTTTTTAACAACCAGCTTAATGTCACACAAAACACAACAGGCAAAATGCAAAAAAAAATGCATCAAAAACGGGTGTGAAAAAAAAAAACAAAATGCACCCATAAAATGCATCAGCCGCAATCTATATAGATGTAAATCTAGCCTTAGATTAGATCTGCTTACAATTTTAATTGGGACAAGATGTTAGCATAATCTCCTTAAGGCTGCATTCACTCCTGAGTGATTTTTATGCTTGAAGCTTGTAGCTCTAAAATGCTAAAAAAGCCAAATCCCATTTATTTCAATGGCCCTGTTCACATATAAGCGTTCTGTCACCTGAACCAAAACACTTGTCACTCAAAAAAGTACATGAACTGTTTGACAGATTACAAATCTTTTTGACCCCATAGACTTCAATAGAAATGCCTGAAAATGTGTGACGAGCATTTTACGAGCATTTTGTTGCACGTTTTTAGCAGCTCTCCACCCCTAATTTCCTCCCCCTCTTCTCCCCTAGTTTTCTATTAGCTAAACAAAAATGCCTGAAGATGTAAAACGCTTGTAATACACTTCTAAAACGCTCAGAAACTCTCAAACAAAAATGGCAGTAAATCTCTACGCCTAGGTGTGAATGCAGCGAAAAGGAACACAGGCAGCAGTCAAAATTTGTATACATGACATGTGAGAAGTGACACTCTGAGAAGTATGTGAACATACATTATGTGCCTTTTTAGATTTTTTTTTATATGTCTTGTGGTTTTGGTGCACAGTTAAATGTTCGCTGATTCACGTTGTGTACAAATTGTTCTTCTGGCATCAACAATCAAATTCATTATTGTGCTGATAAAGGAAATTTGAAGAATAAATGTTTCAACCTGCTTTGAGGCTACATTGAATGGTAAACACACACACACACAACTGGACCTATGCAAGAGTCTATGCAAGCTTTAATGGCCTAGCCCAGTGATGGCGAACCTTTTTGAGCCTGAGTGCCCAAACTGCAACACAAAACCAACTTTTTTATTTCAAAGTGCCAACACTGGAATTAATCACTTGCCTACCGGGCACTTCTACCCCCTTCCTGCCCAGGACAATTTTCAGCTTTCAGTGCTGTTGCACTTAACAAAGACAATTGTGCGGTCATGCAACACTGTAACCATATGCAATTTTTATCATTTTTTCACACAAATAGAGCTTTTTTTGGTGGTATTTAATCACCACTGGGTGTTTTATTTTTTGCACTATAAATGAAAAAAAAGAGCAAAAAATTAAAAACATAAAAGGTTTCCTTTGCTTCTATTCTAAAATTTTGCAAACAGGTAATATTTCTTCTTTGATGTGCGTTGGTGAGGCTGCACTGATAGGCAGCACTGATGGGCATTGATGAGGCGGCACAGATAGTTTGCACTGATGAGCATTGATGAGGAGGCTCTGATGATGCACTGATATGCAGGAAATGATGGGCACTGATAAGCGGCACTGACAGCACCAACTGGAGGCACTGACAGACGGCACTGACCGGCGGCACTGCTGGGCATCATTGATGGGTGGCACTGATGGGCAGCACTAATGAGGTGTCACAGATAGGTGGCACTGATAGGCGACACTGATAATGGGTACTGATAGCACTGATAGGTGGCACTGACTGACATCACTGCTGGGCACTGACTGGCACAACCGCTGGGCACTGACTGGTGGCACTGACTGGCAGCACTGGTGGGCTGCACTGATGGGCACTGGTGGGCGGCACAGGTGGGCACTGGTGGGTGCATTGCTGGGCACAGGTGGGCGCACTGTTGGGCACAGGTGGGTGCATTGCTGGGCACAGGTGGGCGCACTGCTGGGCACACGTGGGTGCATTGCTGGACACAGGTGGGCGCACTGCTGGGCACAGGTGGGCGCATTGCTGGGCACAAGTGGGCGGAACTTGTGTGTGGCACAGGTGGGCACCGATCATCAGGGCACTGATGATCAGTGACCCTGATGATCGGTGCCGATCCCTGTTCTGACAACTGCCGGTTTTCGGCAGTACTTTCCTCACGATCTGACAGCGTGAGGAAAGTGCAGCCGAGAACCGGCATTTGCATTTCCCGGTGATCAGCGTGTCATTGGACACGGCTGATCACGTGCTAAAAGGCTGCTGTGATTGGCCTTTTACCATGTCACGTGATCAGCTGTGTCCGCAGGACACAGCGATCACGGAGATCGCCTGGTGCGCGCCCCCGGAGGTGCGCAGGAGAGCGCGTTCTCTTCCTCTTCCTCTCTTCCTCCTGGCGTGCCCACTGAGATGGCTCTGCGTGCCAGCTCTGGCACGCGTGCCATAGGTTCGCCATCACTGGCCTAGCCTCTTCTGAGCTCCAAGTGGTACTAGTGTGCAAAGGTTTTAGCACAATGTTAAGAGGAAATCTGCAAGCTTGTTTGTTTTGTTGTTCTTGTTCAGAAGTGGGTAGGCCCTGAAAGCTTGTCCTGAAAATGTAGCTTAGTGCAAATAAAAAAGTATCATGGACAGTACTCAACTGTGTTGTTGCAAGTGCACTAAGCTACTTACATACACCAGCGGAGTTCCAGTTGAATACAAAAAAAATTAAAAGTCAACAGCTACAAAAACTGTAGTTGCTGACTTTTAAAAAATACAGGCAATTACCTGTCCCTCGGTGCAGCTGTGTCCTCACCATGGCTGGCTTCACTGGCCGTCTTCTCTCCTCGGCGCTGGCATCTTCAGTGTGGGCACCCAGCTGTGACAGCTTGTGGCTTCACAGCTGGGTGCCCACTGTGCATGCATGAGTAGCGCTGCGCTTTGTGAATGGTCCCGTAATCTTCTGGGACCTGTCACGTGTCCCAGAAGACTATGGGGAGGGAGGGGGGAGGACAACTTCCACTTCCGATCGCCTTAGGCGATCGCACTGGAAGTGGGAGCAGGTACCTGTCAAATTCAAGTACCCAAAGATGCCAATCCTTAATGGGGAGCGGGGGCAAAGCCTTAAAGTGGAACCTCCCCTTTTGGGTGGAGCTCTGCTTTAACCCTTCCCTACCAAAAGTAGTTACAAATATTCTGGTATTCAAGGGGCTCTGAAATCTGTTGCTGCTGTCTGCTGTGGTTCCTGGGCCTCCGGTTCCTCCAGGGAGCCCAGGATAGAGGTAGGTTATTCCAGTATGCTGAGTAGGAGGAGTTTGAGGAACACCGTTTTTCAATCTTCTCTGCGACCAATGAACCCAAAAGTGACAGGATTTTGCCACTTTTGTGTTCACTGCAGTAATGCCCTGGCCCTGGTCAAGGAAAGCAGCTAATCAAGCATATTCTGTACTTGATTACCTTCAGTGGGGAGGGCAGAGAGGTGACATAAGAGGTCTAATAGACTTGTAATGTCTTCAAAAGAGGACCTATCACCTGCCTCTGCTATCAGATAGGGGGCTTGTTAACCCCCCGTGATGGCAATAAAAAAAGTAAAATTAAATAGAAATTATAAAAAAAATGAAACTCCCTTATTCTTCCGTATATGTATACAGCAGTTGCACCATACATGTGAGGTATCATTGTGTGTCAGAGTAATAGCAATCATTCTAGGACCATAATTCATGGTAAACTCTAAACTGATAACCTATACAGGCTTTTAAAGCCTATGTACAATTTTGAGTAACATAAATTTGCATCTGTTTACTCGAAGCAGCCCCAGCTGTTATATATTTTTTTTTAAATTGGGTATTCTATTGTGTTTGTACGTACTAAAATGTATTTTAGTGTATTTTGTTTCCTGAAAATATTTTGTTTGACAAATAGTTGTGAAAATATAAAACAAATTGCAGCTGATGCCATTTTCTTTTACAGGGCATCTGCTTCCATTAAATATATAACTGTTCAAAGTAATTTTCTAACAAAACATGTAGATTTTAATGCATGTGGGATAAAAAAAATACCCTGGTAAAAATGTTTTTTTTTTTTTTTGTTTTTTTTAAGAATATTTTCAACAAGTATAGAAAATGTGTTGATCTTGCCAGAAATGCAGTGTCCTTGTCACCGCCTGTGAGCTGCGCTGAAGAATATTTTCCATCCTACCTATCTTCTTTAAACTACCAATTGCTATGCCTCCAATGTAATGGAGATAAAGAGATGTGGACTTATGTAGTCCATGTTGGAAGAGCAGCCTAGGTTGACAATCATGGCTCTCTACTGATGCAGTGGAGGAGTAATGTAGCCACCTAAGGACAGAAAGTGTGTTATTTGCAGAATTACCAGGTGAAAATAAAAGATATTTGAAAAAATAAAACCCAAATGCAGCCATCACATCAAGAACTAAGCTGCAATATGTTACATTTTTGGTTTTGAGTTTAGATACACTTTAAATATTTTATATCTTAAAAAAGAACTCAAGCAAGCAAAAACTATTTTTTTAGCTTCAGCTTCAATAATGAGTAAGGCTGGTACCTCTGTCAGAAAAATGTACTCATAATTGTTTGTTTTTTTTAGATGGGCAAATTCAGCATGCATTTCAGTGCATTTGCCTTTTTCTTTGAAATGCATTTACCCGATTCACATCTGTGCGGGTGGTGCCGCTGTGGATCCGCACAAAAATCCGTGCAGCCGCACCACCCACACAGAGGAATGCGGAACCGCCATTCTAATGGCACGCCGCCCGCACTGGAAATCGCAACCGTACTTGGAACCAAGGTTCCCGTGTGGGCTGCGTTTTCCGAGGGAGTGCAGGGACTTCTTTCCCAGCGTCTCCTGGGGCACGGAAGTCCATTCAAATGAATGGGCTCTCGTGCCCGCACAAAACACGGCCCGCAGGAACACGGAGATGTGAACCTAGCCTTAGACCTTTTTGAGCTTCTTCTGACCTGTTTTGAGCGCCAATGGACTCTTCTGGGGAGAAAGTCAGCTCTAGTAGTAAAGTCCCTGTGCTCAACCCTTAGAGCTGTACAAGCTTAGTTATGGAATATTCATGTCCTACCCTTGCATAGCTTTACATTGTCTGACTCTGATCACAAGTCACCTGAAGTCTGACCGTTGCTGCCTTGTCAGCTTTCTAACTTTGCACAATGTCTCTCAGCTTCTGAGGTTGCAGAACAGTGTTAAATACCAGAGCCATACGATTTTTACACTCCACAGTTGACAGTACAGCATCTGTCAGAGTTTACCTGTTAGGTCATAAAAGTTTTTGGACTAATATTACTCCAAAGAGAAGGGACCTGCAAGTACCTTTGTTAATCATCATGTTGTTTTTGATGCTCCAAGGAAGCTTTGATTGTGGATGTTTGCAATTTCTAGGCTTTGACTCTGACGTCACTTCAATAGTCTAGCCTACATTAACCACACTGATCAAATTTTGTCAGTGATTCATTGCTGTTTGTGTCATGGCCAGAGATATTAAGATTGGTTGTCTGATGATACCATGTAAGTTCACGTGTTTGTTGTGAAAATCTGGGTGTGACACGTAATTAATTCAAGGGTCTTAGAGAGAAGCCAGGAATAGGTGATAACATTTTGAAAAATATGTTCTTGAAGAAAAAATATCCTGTTTTTTCTAATATTTAGTGGGGATAGTTTGTACTTTACGATAATACTGAATCTATACTGTACCTTCCCTGTAAAAAAGGTTGTTATAAATGTAGGTGGGAGCTTTTTAAAGACCACATGATTTTTGGTGGACATCTACTGTCTGTATAGTTTAATTTTATTTTATGCATGTACACTTTTTGGAAATGCCATTTAGCATTAAATATAATGGTTAATGTTCTGTTTTATTACTTTTTTAACCCTCAAAAATCAAGTCATGTATTAATGAGTTGCCTCAGGTGAAGCCAAAAAGGCAGAGTTTCTTAAAGTTATTCTGGCTTTGCAGTGGTGGATTCACATTAGCCTAGGCCCTAGGGCACAAAGAAAGGAAATGAGTGACCTTAGTTCAATGAGTAATGTTCTTTCCTGGGACCTTTTTCTTTACAGCACACAAGTCTGCATTGACATTGTAAGCAGTAGAAAGGAATTTCTGTAAATAGACTTCACTGAGCCATAATTAGGAAGCAGGTCTTTTCTTGCTTATCAGTTGTATTAGATTGCAGGATTGTCCCCTTTGTGTAAGATAATGAATCTAGCAACCACAATATTTGAGCAATTTTTGCAGTATTTACCTGGGAATACATTTTAATGTGACTTTCACTTTTTAAATGCTTGCTTTTACATTTATTTATATTATTGTGTTAAAGGAGCAGTATAGCCAAAGATATTTTGGCTGCACTTCTCCTGTAGGACACAGGAGTGCAGTTCGTTTTGCACTCCTGTGATCCATTTTCAGCCGACAGTGGGCTAAGGTCCACTGTTGGCTGATGTCACTCAGCCTGTCCAAGCTCAGGAAAATCTCTACCATATAGTTTGGGATCCACCCCCTGATGCACCTGGCTCAGCCTCTCAGAGATCTGCTGAGAGCCAGAATAAGCCCCTTCCACCCCCTCTCTACAGCCCAGCACTTCAGTGAGTGCTGGAGAGGCAGAGTAGAGAGCCAGTAACTGACAGTCATGACTCTCTGCTCAGAGCGGAGGGAGAGAACTGAACGGTCAGTGGTGTTTGATCACTCAGTTCTTAGTGCAGAGCCAGCACCATCCAGGTAGGTGAGTATAAATGTTTTTGAGTATAATTTTTTTATTTTTGTTTTTAAGTCCATACTTCTCTTTTAAATATAAAGGTTACACAAAGCTCTGTAATTGACTCAAGCTTGTTCCTTTTATTTGCTTAAAGTGTTACTAAACCCAGGACCCAAGCGCAATTATTTCAGTAAATATAAAGTGCTAAATACCTTTTTTCTAATCAGCAGTTATAGCATTATTATGACTTCTATCAGTGTCCAGCAGAGCACTGGTTTAAAGCTTTTAGGAGTTTTCATTTTGCTCTAGGAGGATGCAGGACCCCTGACCTCTGTTTGGACAGTGCTGATTGGCCCTGTACTGATCATATGCACTCTCCAAAGCAAAAAAAAAAAAAAACTTCTCTAGCAATACACACCAAACTGAGCATTTGCAGAGTGACTCCACACGATATGTCTTATCTGGAGATGAGGGGGGGGGGGCACTGAAAGAAGGGAAGGATCAGACAAGACAGGATCAAACAGCGTTTTTACACAATGCAGAGGATTAATCCATTAGGTTCCAGGGTGAGTATA